GTTCAGTGCTGATTTCGGCCGACCGGCTCAACACGTTGTACGTGTGAGTGCTGATAAGCTATGGCATATAAGCCATTAAGAAGGCGAGGGCAAGCGGGGTCTCGGTAGTGTAAGGGATAAGAGCACGGTCCCCGGAAAGGACAAGTACGGGTTCGAGTCCCGTCCGAGACTGGAGTTTTGCCCACAAATCGCCAACTTTGTGAGCACTGTTTTGATTTTTCTGAATCTATTCGTACGTCGGACGCAGGTGGTGTAGAGGCAGGTGGCGCACCTCACATACGCATTGTCGCGGGTTCGAATCCCGGATCGCTACCCGACTGGACTGAGCAAGCCTTCCATCCTCTTACGGGGTTGCTTAGTTGGTGATAGACTTATCTGGGAGGATAAAAGCCCTGACTTACACATCGGCTGGTCACCGCAAGTCATTGTGTAGGCCACATACGCATTCAATACCCCCTTACGATTCTGAATGGAAGTCGAATGCGTAGGCGCATCCCTCAGGCGGGATCGATTAACGCCCTAAGACTTTATCCTATCCTTTATTCGTATATCAACCCAAAGGCCATATTAACGGATAATTCTACAAGGATATACTCCAATGAGTCTTGTATGAGTGTGGATATGATCGATTGAGTAGCGCTGAGCTGACGTTACTGGCGCCCGCTCGAGGAAGTCGACGAACGACGGGACGACAGGTGATACAGATGAATTTTATAAGGAGGGTACGGATATTCAGCGCTATGTCAATACAGAAGCTGGCTGAAGAAGACCTCGCAGCGGTATGGTTTTGTTAGAGGTGCACGAAATAGAAATGATAGCGGGAAAATTATCACGACTAATAGAGAAGGAAACTTAACTTGATCACCTCCTTTGGACTTTCCTTCAGAACTCATTATTCCGTATTCTTCATCGTCACTTGGTATAGCATCAGCGGGAATTGGAATCACTCCGTTTTCGGCTATGCCAGTGAATGGCTTCTTTTTCCCTGCTTTTCTTTCCAAAGCTCGTAAACTTTCAAAGAACTCGCGTTTTGCTTGATTGACAAATTGCTTCTTTTGTAGTTTTCCTTTTGTGCCATGTGCCGTACCAATTATTGTTTTTCCTCTGAGAGCCGTTTGTCGTCGTTCTGGAAGTTCAGAGTTCTCCAAGTTAATCTGTCGGACTTGCTCTTCCAAGGCTTTAACTTCGGCTTTCAGTTGTTCCAATCGCTGTCTTTCCTCCTTAATTGCGCTTTGCGTACGTGTCAGTGTGGGTTGATCGGTTTTCTCGACATCCGCTTCCTTTTTTGAAACAGACTCCTTCGAGGATTCAGGTTTTTCTCCAAACATCTTCATAATTCCCTCGTTCAACATTTCAATTGCAATTCGCATTTGTTTCGATCGCTCCGATTCCTCTAGTGTGGAACCATTCATGCGCATATCTAGTGTTTTTAAGATCAGTTTCGTTGCTCTGACGGAAGTTTCATCAAATGGGTTGAACTGCCAAGAGGCCTTCGTCGGTTTTTTAGCATCGGTTCGGATATTATTCGGCTTCTCTATCTCTTCCCCATTGTCCGACTTGTCCGGCACCATCACCATGCGAGCTTTCGGTTCCTCCAATCGAGCGATTTTGCTGGTTTTCATTACTAGAATCATTAAAGACCGTAAGGAAAGGTATGATGAGAATAGAAGAATGACCGTCGAAATAAACTTACCTGTGTCTACCGGACTCTTATTGTCAGCTGTGGAAGGGCGTTCGTAATTTTTGCACATTTTATCGCGCCAACGATCCAGAAATGAAGCTAGCGAATGTACATCTATGAAATATCTATGAGATCTCGATGTAGCTAAGATTGCATGTAAAAAACGACATTTCAATAGCTTTTTCAGTAGAACATGGTCAATACTAAACCAACTGTGGTTGATGGGACAGGACCGAAATTACCCTTCTCAGCGCGTTTGTTATTGGTGAACTGCAAACCCAACCATTCGTAGCACGCTCTTAGCTCGACCCTGACAAAAGGATGCTCCGCCCACATTTTTGTAGCATTTTTAACTTTCCCAGGATCGTTCACGTAAGTCCATTAACTTCCTCCATGAAATTTAACATTTTGGTGAACACAACACATTTGCAAGTTGCGAACCTATTTCAGCTGAGGGTGAAATACCGCTCCTCAACAGGGTGTTCCTGCACTTATAAACAAACAGAAAACAGGTAAATGGCGAGATAAATAAGTAGGACTAGTATTTAGTCTAAAAGCGACAAGTAATAATGCCTCATGTATTCCTACTCGAAGGCAGAGTTCTCGATAAATTTGGGGTTTCAGTCGACGAGTAAGGGGAATTATAGTCCAGAATAGTGCTGCGAAAGCAGCGAAGAAAACACAAAAGTTGGCATGCTCAGGGAATAAAGAGTTAGGCCCTTGGGCGCTGATCAATCTTATCCGGCATACGCCCCGCATTCGACTTCCATTCGAAATAGTATTGGCGTATTATTTGTGGCCTATACAATAACCTGCGATAGCCAACCGAGGTACAAGTCAGTGCTTTCATTCTCTCAGACGAGTGGTACCGATTAATAGGCCCCGGAGGGGTGGAAGGCTTCAACGAATATCGATTTGGGATTCGAATCTGTGACCGTGTGTGTGATAGTGCGCCATTTGCCACTACACCACCCCCACCTTTAGAGAAGTATGATGTATTTATAAAAAAAGTAAATTTAGGCGTTGGACGAGAGCGTGGCGGTAAAGCTGCATGGGTACTTGAAGGAGCTTGTCTGCCATTACGTACACGTGGCTACCGTAAGTTGCCTGCATGCAACGTGTACGTCCTGGTGCGAATGCTCCAGCGTCCATACCTCTACGACGTCATTAGATTTGTTCGCTTTTGGTATGTGCGTCGGCCAAGCCGATTTGGGTGCTCTTAGTTTGCCCCGTCAAAGCTCTCTCCGATATACAGGGTGTCCCAAAATTATTTGCGCCGGTTTATAGCAATATATTTGAAACTTCTCAACTGCGAAAGACGATGTAATTTCTATGAACGCTAGCTAACACTATGTGCTACAACATGCTAAAGTCACATCTCGAAATATCCCCCGTGAGCGCGAATAGAAGT